CCCCCTCTTGTTCCCTGCAAATCCTCCTCTCATCCTCTGGTTCTTCGTGCTTACAGGGACGCTCTCTCCTTTTGACGTCTTCACGTGGCTCCCGCTCCCGGGACACACGTTGGATCTCGACATCGGCTTCTGCTGCAGCCACCACAATCTCTCGTGTCCTGTCGTACCCCACCAGGTCCCGTTGCCTCCTTCCATCGTCTTCAGGCTCGCGTGGTTGATGTTCGTGTCTCTCGCGTGCATCCCCCTGGTTTGTGGTGCCACCTCGGTCATCCCTGGTGCGTGTCTGGCGGCGCTCGTAGATCTCCAGGTCCAGGTCCCGCAGGCGATCGATCCTCCTCTTCCGCACAGGCTCTTCCCTCCTCCTATCATCTTGTTCCTCCCAGTTTTTATTTTGATGAATTTCTCTCTGTCTTTCTGGATATTTAAGCTCATGTTCCTCGTTCTTCCCTTGTTCATAGGAACCTCTGTCTTGCTCACATTTTTCATAGTACCTAAGGTCTAGTTCTAGCGGTTCCTTTATGTGTGACTGATGTGGGCGTCTCGAGTCCAGGCATTCAGGCTCACGTGTCTGGTGGTTTCTGTGTTGAAGTGCTTTTTGTTCCAGCTCACGTAGGTGGTAGCGGCTTCTCTCTTCTGTGAGTAATTCAGGTTTACGTGGCTGATTGTGACTTCCTCTATCTGCTTCTTGTGGCTGCTGGTTTTTTTGATCGTACGCTGGTAGTGCTGGCTCACGCGGCTGATGGCTACTCCACCGGTTTGACAGTGGTTGTGGTTCACGGGTCTGGCTGCGACTCCTCACGTCTGCCACTTGTTCTGGCTGAGGCCCCTCTCGATTTTGCCTCTGATCTGCCTGGAGTCCCGGCTCATGTGCTTGCAAGCTGTCGCGCTTGCTGAGTTGTCCATCTCCTCGTCTGTCTGGCTCCAGTGGCTGACGTCTTCTCTGTCTGTTCCGTTGGTCATGTGGCTCTTGGCTTCGTTCTTCATACACCTGGGAGATTGGATCCCCTGGCTCACTGCTTTCTTTTGCATCGTTTCTGCTCTGTGTGTTACGTTGCTGGTGATGACTCCTCGTTTCCTCTCGTGTTTCAAACTCCTTCACTCTGGTATCTTGCTGCAGCTCACGTTCACTGGGGGGACGGTGATTAGTCTCACAGGTTTGTTGTTCCTCCTCGTGGAGCTGCTGACGGCTCCCTCTGTTCTTAATTTCAGGCTCTTGGAGTGACTTGCTGCTGGTTGTCAGCTTTGTTCTTTGCAGAAGGCATGGTCCCTTCGGCAGGTACCAGTAGCAGGCCTTAGCCACTCTGAACACCAAAAGCAGGAACTCATTAAAATCTATCTCCCCATCACCATCCCATTCCAGAAATTGCAGAATCTTGTCAATTGTCTGAGGGTCATGCGGCTTCTGCAGGGAAAACACACACAGGGAAACAAAAAAGTGATTTTAGCCTTCCTGCTCCTTGACAGGGAAATGCAAAGACAGGGACAATTGCAATTTTTTCTCCTTCCACCTCTCACACCTTCACTTTTATTGCTCAGGAACAACTCCATGTCTTTTTTCCTCCATTTTCCTTGGTTGTCCTCTGACTGCAGCTAACCAACTCTCTTCTCTTTGGAATATGCTGGATGCATTTCCTTCCTGCCTTTGAAAGAAAACCATACCTCCCCGTGGTTTGTTCTCCAGCTTTTGACCATTTGCTCATGGCTCATGGAAGAGCTGTCGAAACAGTTAGTGCAAAGGAAAGCAAGTATTTCTCCCCTTTGGTGAAAGCCTCCCCGTCCCTCTGTCGTAAGAGTCATTCCCTCTCCAGAAGGAGATTTTGCAGTCCCTGCACTCCAGTCTTGGCCTCAGCCCCCTCCCCCCTTGTAGCAGCACTCACAGCTATGACATCTGCAAACTCCGTCTGGATGAACTCTTTCATCTTCCTTCGGCTGAGGTTGGGGCAGTCTCCATCCCCTTTTGCATATTGGTGAAAGATGCTGACAATGGTGGAAATGCTGTCTAAGAAGCGAGACATCTTCCTGCAGATTCAAGCAAGCCTGCAAGGAAAGGAGCAGACCTAAGGATGGGAGATTTGCTGGCGTGAAAAGAGGAGGCGGAATTGCTGGGGTCAGGCTGCGTGCGTTAACAGGGCGCTGGGTGCTGTGTGCTGTGTCCCCCCCTCCTGTGCCACGGTGAGCTCTGTTTCATCAGAGCACTGGGAAAAAATTCAAATGCTTAAGGGTTTTAGTGGGATGGGGAGTGTCCTCCAACTTGTCTACTGACATATTTGAATGACGTTTGATAGGGGATGGCATTCACGGATCGCAGGGAGGGAACTGGGCACGGTGACTCAAGAGATGCCCCAAGAACCTGTCCCCATGGGACTATGCCACATACTGAGGTTTGCAGGACCCACCCTGCTATCTCTGCCTGGCGCTGAGATACCCCAGCTTCTGTGCAGCACGTTAGAGGATGTCCAACGCAGAACTCGCATGGCCTGAGACAAGATCTACCTGGGCCAGGGACAGGTAGAGTTCTTACAAGGAGTTAAAACAAACCTTGTGGCTCATGCTCCTGTGACCAGAAGTAATGCAAAACAATTGATAGAGTTTTCATTACAGCATCAGTTCATTGGAAAATAGATCTTGGCCAGAGGGGAGCTGTCAGATCACCTAGGTCAGAGCTGCTTATTTAGTTTTGCTGAGATCTGCTTGGCAGAAAGCAGTGCTCCCGTTGGAGATTTGTGTCTGGAAACCTCGAAATCTGCCTCCTTCCATCCTCCTCCCAGGATCCCCAAGCCTGTTATCAGGTGCATCAGTGCTGAGATCTCAGCTTGCAGCTGGGGAAGCTATGCCATGTCCACCTTGCCGCCTCTATAACGTGCACATACACATGGACATGTGTGCACACCTCTGCGTACCCGAGGTTTTGGTATTTCTGTAGAAAACAGACTATTGCTCTAATCTGTTCATTCTGGCTGGCAGCCGACTCCAGACCAAAGTGAGGCACAAACCCTGTCTCTCTCTTGTTTTCCCTTTGAGAAAAGCTGCCTCCACACACGGACATACGGCAGCATGCAGGTGTCCGAATAACACAAACCAACACTTCGCTGGATCTAAACGCAAAAGACGCTCAGAAAACACTGCGGCAGGAATGACGCTGCCACCCAACATGAATCCTATAGAAATAGCGTGTCCTTGACCAGCAAAGCGCACGTTTCAGAAGGAGTCACTTACCCAAATCACCAACGGGATCGAGTGGGATTCCTGCGAAGCCGTGCGGAGTGATCGGAGGACCCGAGTGCTTTTATAGGGTCCTTGACGGAGCTACGGAAAGGAGACACCCTTTGTGGACATTGTCCTGATTCATCTTTGGCCAAGCCCAGCTGCACCTTCATGTCCTCAAACGGGTTATTTAACTTATCATCCCCTTACCTATCATTTTAACCCAGAAATAGCAGTTACCATGTGGCAATTCAGGCACTGGCTGGTTCCAGCTAATCCAGACTGTAAAGTTATTTTACAGGCTGATTATATTTCAGATTTTAAAAAATCTAGGGTAGCTATAAAGTGTGCATATGTGTTAATGGGAGGGTGTATTTTTATGTAATTGTGCATTTGCATAGGTATGAATTTACGTATGTATAATACACACATGTAAAAATAGTACCAGAAAGACATTTTGAGGATGGGGACTGAAGTGCTGATGGTAGCAGAGCTCACGACAAGCAGATCAGGGACAGTCAAGATCTGTATGGCCCATGATCTTGGTACCGCAATACCAGAGGTTATTTTTGTTTGCTTTTTGTGCAGTTCCTTTGGCACCTTGGGCCTGAGGTCAATGCGGTTTGGGTCTGGCTTTCGCTCACAGAAGGACAGCAGAAGACCTAAGCACTATAAAAATGGGGAAACGCAGGTGCAGAGCAGTGAGATCCCAAGTCCTCCAGATCTTGGCTTGTGTGGCATAGAGTGTTTCATGTTTGGTAACTTCTTATTAAGGAGCCTTTTTGTTGTATTATCCGTGTTTTTGTTGGGAAAAAAACAATCACAAACTGAACATTTTTAAATGGTGAAGTCTCCAAAATGAAATTTCATACACGAAAATGTGTGTTCAATAAGCAACGACTTTTCATTGAGAAAAATCTTGATAAAACATTTTTCATACTAACTGTCTTCCATGAATGACTTTCATTTCAACTTCGCTTGATCTTTAATTAAAAATAAAAGCAGAAACCTCTCTTCTGAGAGGTCGATTCATGTTAAATCTTCATCTGGTTGCCCTAGGCGGATTTTGCTGTAATTACCTCTACAATCTTCTTTTTAAAAATCTTTTAACAGTAAATTAGTTAGAGACCAACTGATTCCTTTATTCACCCCGAACTCCCCCAGTACACAGAGCAAGTAAGGAAGACACCGGCCATGCCACCTGGGCCCCTGCTTTTGGTTTTGGAGGTAGGATGCTGCCTTGACAAGCATGACGGAGGCATTGCAGTGAGCCTTCAGAGCATGAACTCGTCACGCAGCCTTGGGTGAGTGGCTCATCTGGCCCATCTGTAAGGTAAGATCATACTGGGTGTAGGAGCCTAATTAATTAGTGCTGGTAACACCTTGGGGATACTCATACAAGTGCGTACGAAGGATCGTTACTAACCATACTTCATTTTTGAGCTTTTTTTCAAGATTAAATTATACTTGTGCAAATTATACCCCACCTGTGGGATAATAATACCCTTGGGAAACTGTAATTTTATGGTAGATTGGAGTTATTATTAAAATTAGAGTATTACAGTGCGGCTTGGTGTCCTGTAACAGTCTGTAATCCCCCCCGCAGGGGCTGGGGCAGTGCAGGACAGTCGGGTGCTGCATGAGCCACCAAACAGAGTTTGCGTATTGATGCGGGAAAAGGTACGTCACGTTTCGGCCTTGCGCACGCTGGCATGCTCGCTGGCTTTCCCGTGCTTTGCTGCCGTTCCCCGGACAAAGCAATGAGCTTCAAAGCACATTCTTGGCAGCGCTGAAATCCCCTTTTCTCCAAAGGCTTCGTTTTCCCCAGAGATGCTTTCATAAGACAGGACTTAGGTAGGTTTTTAAAAGCTGTTACCCAAAATGGAAAAACTGAATGGATGAGTGGATGAAAAACTGAACGTGAGCCAAGAGTGTGCGCTTGCAGCCCAGAAAGCCAGCCGCCTCCTGGGCTGCATCAAAAGAAGCGTGGCCAGCAGGTGGAGGGAGGTGATTCTGCCCCTCTACTACTCTCTTGTGAGACTCCGCTGGGGCAGCTCTGGGGCCCCCAGCATATAAAAGACATTGAACTGCTTGAGCAGGTCCAGAGGAGGCCACGAAGATGCTCAGGGGGCTGGAGCGTCTCTCCTACAAGGACAGGCTGAGAGAATTGGAATTGTTCAGTCTGGAGGAGAGGAGGAGACCTTCTAGTGGCCTTCCAGTACTTAAAAGGAGCCTACAGGAGAGGTGGGGAGGGACTCTTTATCAGGGAGTGTAGTGATAGGACAAGGGGTAACGGTTTCAAACTGAAAGAGGGGAGATTTAGATTAGATATTAGGAAGAAGTTTTTTACTGTGAGGGCGGTGAGGCCCTGGCCCAGGCTGCCCAGAGCAGCCGTGGCTGGCCCCCCCCCGGGCGGGGCCCCTGGATGGGGCTGGGAGTGACCTGCTCTGGTGGGAGGTGTCCCTGCCCAGGGCAGGGGGGTTGGAACTAGATGATCTTTAAGGTCCCTTCCAACCCAACCCATTCTGTGATTCTATGAGGAGGGTGGGCTCTGTTCTCCTGCTTCTTACCCAGTTCTGTGCCCATCCCTGTCGCTGTTTATACAGAGTGATGGAACTTCTGCCTGAGAGGAACCAGGCTCCTTGTGTAGTGTACAAAAGACCTTTTCTCTTCCAACACCTCCCAGGCTTGCAGGACTCTTAGATAGGTATTTGTGTCAGTGGGATAATTTTCATGTTCTCTTTAAAATGAACCAAAAACCCCCTCTTAACTTCAAATGCGACACTCCTGATGGCAAAAATAGTGCTATTCAGAATAAAGCATGTAATTAACACGTCCCTAACAGGGCTTGGTGCCTCTGCCTGAACTGGGAGGTCGTGTTTTTGTTGATGCTGCAAAAGGTGGCAGCTGATGAACAGACAGACTACAGGGGGATGGTGGGGTCTGGTGATTTTAGACCCTAAACCACAGTGAATAAGAAGCAAGAGCTGTTGGACAAACCTCTAACTGAGACCTATTTTGCAAAAAAAATGGAGTTCTCTGGAAAATGAAATGTTTTGAGGAAATGTCTCAGATGGAATGGGGTTTTGACAGATAGGTGGTGAAATTTGATTCTTGGCTTTCCCATTTCATGTGCTCAGTTGTCATGAGGTCAGAGTTTCTTACTGCTAGTGTTTTATCAGTGGTAGAGCAGACTGGCATGCTTTGTGTCTAATACATTTAATTTTGGCATTAGCACCTTTAAACCAGATCATTTTTGTGATGTACATTCTGGGGATAGTTTTGAAACGCTGGTTTTTCTGATTCAGCGTGTAGCAAATTGTGAAATTCTGGGGTGTCCCAGAGGAATGACGTTTTATTTTCCAGTGAGGTCTCTGCATGCTGCTTGTCACCAGCCACAGAGCAGGAGGTGCGGGTGCATTTAGCGTGTGCTGATTTTGCTGATAGGTTGCAAGTGAAAGATAGCATGGTGAAAAACAGGCTAAGCATCACCCTCCCTGCGGGACGCCAGTCCTGGGCCTGCCTGGTGGTCCAGCACGTCTGAACCCCCTAATAAACCCCACTGACTTCACCAGACTGCTCATGCCCTCAGAGTTATCCACATTCCTATGTGCATGTCTGGACAAGTGCCCGAGGACTTGGTACCCCAAACTGCCTGAACTGAATCTGAGTTTGAGATTGGCTCCATCTGTGCACGGTTTGCATGTCAGCTTTTTATCTGTGGCCTCCTGGTTGTTGCTGGGACTGGATGCACCCGAATCATCATTTTTCCTGTGTCTAATATATCTCCACTCCTTCCTTTGGAGGCTTCCATAGCTAATAGGGATTTTTGATCCTCATAGCATGCTCCACGTTCCCCTTGCTTCTGAGATTATTAATAAGGGAGGTTAAACAGGACAAATCCCTCCCATTCAGTGTTAAGCAGATGTTTATTCTTTTCACAGCAGACATGAAAAACGCCCGGAGCAGATGGATGCTGTGAGGAATCTGTTCAGGTTGGCCGTGTTGTTGTGTTAACCCAGACTTCTACCCCCTCTGAAGACATCTCGGAGGGACGTCAGATCCCTGCCTGCCGGCAGCAATCGATTCACCTCGGCTAAATTGCGAAGGCGGCTGAGCAGCAGCTCCTTTAGGCTATCCACCCCTAAGACACACCTGCCTCTCTGCAGCCGTCCCTCCGTCTGCACCCTGGAGCGATCTGGCCTTATGTCATCCAAGGAACGGACACTCGCGTCCTCTGCGCCCCATCATGTCAACCGGGCTGTTTGCTCAGGGCCGGGCTGAGGGCACGCTTGCAGCAACACACCGGGACACTGTGCTGTTTTGCCTTCAGTTTTATTGCTTTGCTTACAGAGGCAGCGGCAGCCTAACACAGAGTAAGAGGGAAGGTCTCTAGTCATGCATAGCTCAGCACAAACCAGGAACACGAAGCCCAGGGTTGATAGGGCATTGGACAAGAAATGACAAAAAGAAACGCAAAAACCAGAGCGGGACTGGACGAAAGGTACCTGCTTGCAGGGGGCAACAGCCTCACTTAGACAGGGGCTCATTCCAGCCTTTACTGCTGCGGTGGCCACTGATACAGGGGC